TTTTGTTTATTTCGTCATTCCGCTGATATGGCGATTTCTTTGACGATTGCAATATATTTCTGAATTGTTTGAGTAAATTGCTCTTTACTATTAAAATATCCAAATTTAAAAAAAGCCGAACACAATTTTGAAACTGACGTCTTTAGCTATGTCCTGTGAAACTTTGAGAAAAATTGGTCAAAACCCGCAGGAGCACAACTCGTTTGAAAATCAGTAATTACCGTAAAATTCTTCGGGAGAAAATTGAATTTGAACATTACATTTTCAATGTTTCTCTTATTGCAGCGAAATGTATTTTATTAAATAACTCTGCGAGTTTTCAACATTTTTCGTTCAAACTTGGTCAGATAGTAGAACTAGTCTAATGCTTTCATGGAAACCAATAAAAAAATTTTAGGCAAAATTAACCCTCAAAGGTGTTCTGTAACGTTAATTCATTTTTTTAATTCAGGCGGGCTGGTATTAAAAGTCACATTAAAGGTAGGTTTGCGCATAAAAATGGAAAGTTTAAAACACAACTTGAATTCATAAAGTGCAAATTTGGAAAGTGCAAGTTTTATGAATTATCAAAGTACCAGATAATTTGACCTCCAAAACCTTTCTAAAAGCTGAAACTTACTTTTTACGCGGAATTTTTCAACTTTTTTTATAGAGTGTGTGAGAAATCAGCCATTCATGAAATCAATCATGCATGAAATCGTAAATAAAAATATGCATGAAAGGCTAACAGGACAAAAAAGACCAAGTTTTAGAGGTCGCATGGTGGAATTTTTGTACGTCAAAGTGTCTGCTACTTTACCACTTTCTAAACCTGCGTCCTGTATTCAACTTGTCTACATGCGCAAGCCACTTTAGATCTAAATGTAATTACTTGATCCCCGTCCGATGGGCTTTTGTTATTTGCATATGTTCGAATCACGCAGACCGAATAATTAACGATACTTTCTGAAGTTTTTTCTAGACGCGCAGTCGAGATGCACAAATGGAACATAACCCGGCTTCTTTAATGTCATTTGGTGAATGCGGTCTTACCTCCCCATGATGCGTCTGAATATCCGCCAAAAATGTAGGAACCAACACGGATAATCGTAACAGTTGCTCCTTTGTTGTCACACTTAGAATGAAAGGTGTGTGAACTCCAGCCATCTCGAGTTGCGCGGTAGCATAGCCAAGAAGACGCAGAAAGAACCCATTGTGACAGCTGGATGATGTAAATACTCTTTCCACGCAGTATTTTGGAATCCATGAAAAGGACTAAACATAAATTATTTTGGCAATATATATTAGTGCGTCTGCGTATGCAGTGTTGGTTTTCCAGGTTTCCCTTTGAATTGAAACACGTGTTAATATATAGCACCCACTTAATTAGGAACACAGCGCGTACTTAAACAGAGAGGACCAAAAAGTCACGAAAGTAACCCCCACGTGCACAGTGACAGTTGCTTGCAGATGTAATTCGTTTTCCCACGCAATATTTGGGAATCTATAAAACTGACTAAACAATGAATGATTTGTCTCCGTCGTCGTTGTTGGTTTTCTAGGTTCCCTTTTGAATTGAAACGCCAGTTAATAGCACCCGCTTGGCCACAACACATATTTAAAAACATTTTAATTGGAAATATGAGCTCTTTAAAGGTAAGGTTTCTGAATAATTATAAAATTGTTATACTGAGTGATTCAAGCATTGTATAAATCAATCTTGTTCTTCGAGATTTGTTGTTATAATAAAAAAATAAAGTGAAGTATAATAAAATCTATACTCGCAATTTCTAAAAACATCTACATAAATCCTTCAACATTTAATGCTATAACGATTGAGATGCCCCAATTAAATCGCGATATTTACCCATACCTTACACGGACACCATCTTAGTATATATACATATAGATTAACTTGCAGTTAAAGTTAGACAACTGGACTTTGTTAAACCGCAGATTTCTTTCCTGAGACGGCCTAAATTAGCAATATTTATCGCAGCTGCTTCTTGTTAGGTCTAATAAATGAATAAAAATTTCTAATAATCCGAGGTATGCCCCTGTATGAAAAAAACCAGCTGGTAATCATTCGTTTCCATGGGAATGAATGGAACTTCCAATATGACGTGGCGTGCCGAGTTGCTCTCGCGCCACTGTGCGTGCTGCATAACGTGTTGCATGAGCATAAAGTCTGATGATGTATGATGATCAACTTTATTTGACACTAACGAATCATAATTAGCTGGATACCGAAGTTCTTATCTCTTCCAAGTATCTGATTCCATATTTGAGCCCCATGCACTGTAACCGAAACTTATTTTTAGGAATTCCGTCCGAGGCCTTGGAATAAAAAGCCTATAGTCGAAGATTCCCTCAAATTATAATCATTTAGTGAGTTCAAATTTTGAAAAATGTCACACAGTCCTTGATGGGCTATTTGATTGACCGTTTTGTCCACGATCCTGGCTTTCATTTGCGCCCTACGTTCGTCAAGCGATATCCAACCAAGAGCATTACAAACCCAAATAATTTTAAATAAAGTTGATCATAAAGTCTGCAGATTACAAATAGTAGAGTCAGTTCTTGAAGCAGCTAGCGCTCGTTCCGGCATTTCTTTAAACACTCAAAGGTGTTTACCGGAGATAAGGTCCAGCGAACCCGCTAGCTAACCACAAAACGACAATAAACTACCCCATCATAATATACATTGCAAAAAAATGTTGACCGCTCTGCATTGGAAATTCTACGCAATTCTAATGCAATACATGAAAAATACATGGGCAAATCATTTCATTTCAAGATTTTTGCCTGTGATTTTTAGGTTATAAATCAACTTTAGCACTCTGTGTGTATGTGTCTATTAGCTTCATGAAAATCTCACTCCTGTTGGGGCTTATTTGAACACGATCACTCAGCGGCATTTCACTTGTCCAGATCGTGCACGCGATGCGCAAATATCAGTGATGTCACCGTCTTGTGACCACATTCTATGCATGCATAACCAGCCGTTGAACGGCGAAATTAAACATGCATGTTTACAATGATTTATCGAAAGCATAGAGGGGAGGGCTTAATTAAGGGGGTTTGGATATATGTTTCTATTCGACTGAAAAATTATCTGAACATGTAATTTTCATGGGTCAACATTTTACAAATCTTAGTACAATATACATGTACGTTTTGCAGGACCTCTCTGAAAATCACTTTACGTGAGAGAGTTTCCTATTAAAAATTTTCATAATAATAATAATAACAATAAATAAGATTTAACCTGATTTTAAAAGGGAAATATGCTCACCCTCAAACGTGTTATTAAAACGTTTTTCCAGTTTTTCAAGTTCTTTCTCGAGAGCCTTTCGTTGAATTATAGAGCCATTCAGCTGCTTTTCCAGTTTCTCTTGTTGTAGCTGTTCGTTTTTAAGTTTCTTCTCAAGTTCAATTTGAGCAATGATAATTTTTTTTTCCAAAGACTCTTTCTGTTTCTCCAATTTCTCTTCAGTTCTGTTCTCCTGCTGATTCAGCAATTGTTGTTGATATTTAACCTACATGTAAAATGCCGGTGTAAAAATTATGGTTTGGAATCAAGAATTGAATGTAGACATTTTGTCCTAGCGTGTCATGGCAGTATATAGAGAGTATTTTTCATTTTAACTCATAAACGGCATTTTTATCCACTTTGGTTTGAACAACTATTATATTTTCGACGTGTACACCAACCTTAAACTAAATAATATAAGCTTTTAAGACTCCATTCGTAGCTAAACACTGCGGCCCCACTGATAATTCCCTGGTATCTCAATGGGCTGCGCCGCCTCTTATTAATAATTAAAGCTATAATGATAAATGGATTCCCTTCTTTCGTCAATACTTATTATCACCATTACTAGTTGATATAAACTTGATCAAATACATCATAATCTATCAATCTATCAGCAGAATCAGAAAATTGTTAACCCAATAATTAGAATTTGGTTAATATTTCAGTGGATATTAAATGTGCCAAATGTGCCGTTTAGATGCAATTCAGTTGCCGCAATTAACCATTATTTAATTTATTTTTGTGTAGAACATTCAGATATGCTGCTGCTAAAGTCTGGAACCAAAGTGTCAGTTAACTTAGTAGTAACTGTATTTTTTACACTTTTTGGGAGGGCTTCACTGGGGGGAGGAGGGGTAGTCAGTTAAATAAATAGTAACTGTATCTTTTACACTCTTTGGGAGGGGTTCACTGGGGGAAGGAGGGGGCGTTGTAGTTTGTGTTCATCACGGCCTAATGAAAAGCAACCTTTCGATTTGTAAATATTTTAATACTGGTTGATTAGTCACCGTGTTTAAAGATGTTTTTAATAAAAAAATAATAATAATCTACACAATGTATATGTAAAGTCTATTTTACACAATATTTTAGTCATATTTTCAATTTATTTTTTATTTAAATCTTCGTCTGAAATTTGTTCACATCGCATCATAATGGCTTTCCGCTGAAAACGTCGATCTCGAACACCCCTCCAAACATAAAGTGGGTTTTATAACAAACGTACTTGCAGGGAGGTGAGTCCGGGATTGGACGCACCGAGGGTGGCTGGAAGTTTCCCAAACTTACCGAGCGAAGCGAGGTGAGTTTGGGAAACTTCCAGCCACCCGAGGTGCGTCCAATCCCGGACTCACCGAACCTGCAAGTACGTTTGGTTTTTATCCCATACACCGAGCCATACACACATTTGTAGCTCTTCGCGATATATTCGTCGATGTTGTGTGAACATTTTCCCGGCAAAAAAAATCACTGGGCAAGAAAATACTTCTTTATCTACGTCTACATTACCTTTACTGCATTTTTTCTTTGGTTTTTCTTCAGTCTCAGTATGTTAGTCACCGAAAAAAGTTCTTTAAAGTTTAGGTTTATCGGCTAAATCTTGTCCGCCATATTTGTTATTGTTATTGCAACGTAAGCAGTTTAGCGGACGAGTTCGGGCGAAAAGCAGGTGAGTTCGGCGAAGAGCAGGTGAGTTCGGCAAAAAGCAGGTGAGCTCGACGACAAACTCACCTGCTCTAAACCAATCAGAAAGCCGCTTTTAACACAGGTATGGGATAAGAGATTGAACGCACCTCCTCGTAGCCAGTAGGAAAGCCGCTAATACGTTAGGTATGAGATAAGAGATTGAACGCACTTCCTCGTAAAGTATATACATTCTTTCGTTCATTCCGTACAAATTAAGATAGGCCAGTTTAAATTGAATTCTCCTTTTACTTTCTGTTGCATTTTGAAATGAGGTAATTGACGCCATGCATTGATCATGAATGCGCCGCAATATATCACAGTAGTGTGGTGCACGTACTGGTTTACCTCGTTGTGCATGGCAATTTTCTTCCAATCTTTCGCCCCTCGAACTGAAAGTATTTCTTTATCTGGACGGTAGAGTAAGAGACCAGGAGCAGAGGGAATTTTCTTCACGGCATCTTCATTTGGAACTACCAAGACCTGCACGAATAAGATAATATAATATTCTGAAAAACTGGGTCTATTGACAGGATTCTCTTATAGTCCAAGTAAAAAATACAATAAAGGTTCGTTACGGATATTTAAAGTACTCTCACTTTAAAATTCTTAGATGTGCCTTTTATTTTAAATTAAATCATTCAAAACACTCTTGAATGCTCGTGTTGCAAATTGTACTTAATCTTACCGCACCATTCTTCTTTATTTCATCCGAGTAAGCACAACTACCCTATATTCATTAGAAAATGAAATTATTAATGGCTTCATCTGTCAAACGTCACACCAGTGCCACGTGGATGTTAAGGAGTCTGTTTGGTCGAGGCCCATACATTTTGATAAATAATAATATAATTTGTATACGTACTGTAATAGTATGGTTTCGAGTGCAATTTGGGAAAAACATGCACGAGTGAGTTTTTTAAAGACGATCAAAATTGCACGAGTAGGAAGGACGAGAAACGGTACTATTACTTATTAATAATATACATGAAAATATTATACAGTCGCATGCGCGCGCGTGCGTAGGTCACATGCGAAATAGATCGTTTTAATATAAATAATTTTATTAGAAAATTTTGTCACTCGTAATGTTTGGGTTTTTTTTATTATTTTCATTTTTTGCACTGTATTTCACTTTTTGCACTGTATTTCATGTTTCGCACTGTATTTCACTTTTTGGCACTGTATTTCGAAAAAATTGCACTGCTCTTAGCCAATTAGAATTGAGAAATTTTTTCAGGTATATTATCATTGGCGTAACGCTCATTGGGTAGGGTTACTAAAAAACTAATGGCCCCCGACAGTTAGGGCCCCCATTAGTCACGGCCTATCGTACAGAAAATTAGAGAACGTAAAAAATGCAGGTTAAGAATCAATGAGAAAATGCAAAATTCATGCTAAATATTAAAGCCTCCATCGACAACGGCAGCTGATTTTTTATCCCATATCAAAAATAAAACAAAAGTTATTCTCATTAATTGTTACATGTGTTGGAGACTGTTATTGTTATATACACGGGATTTTCCAGAACATTCAATGTAAATTTCAATATAAATTTAATATCTCAGTCAAACAATAACAACAGTCAACAGGGGCCCCCACCAAATATGCCTAAGGGCTTCCTCCGCTACGCCACTGACTGTATATTATTAATATTAATAACATTTACAGTATAGCACGCGAGCGTTGACCAGTCGAGCAACGTGTTTCTATAACTGTATGGAAATAACACAGAAAACTTCCCCTGTCGCACCTTTGATTTTAATTTAAAACGAAACAAAACAATTTAAACACGCGCTGTGATATTGCGGTGATCTATATAGTAATGTGATACTACTAGTTTTGAGAATGAAATTGTGTGAAAACAGCCCAAAAGGGAATTTTCAGCTCACATAGAGAATATAACGTAACCTATTTTATAGCAATTTATTCTTGCGTTATACTACAAATTAATTATAAAAAGCAATTCCTGTGTTTGTATACAGTTATACAAACACTTGTGCTGGTTTGAGAACTCGAAATAACCTGGAAATTTCGCATTTAGCTCATTTTCCCACTGAATATATCTCGCTCTCCTAAACACCCACGCGTGTTTCTATAACTGTATACAAACACGGATAATGTTTTCTACAGTTCCGAAAACTGCTACGGTTGCCAAAATGTGATTCCAACGTTTCAATTATGTTTACCCATGCATCAGAATTTTGATTTGAATGCTTTATGCCAAGATACCCACACAACTATTTTATCTAATAATTGCAGTTGGTTCTGCCTATAACGTGTTTGGTACAAATTATTCACGTACCTCTCTTCGTATTCCTGTCTCCTCGTCTACGCTGTATGTTTCTTTCTTCCCGTTCTTGTCTGTGACAATGTACTCGACACATTTTCTCCAGGCTCGTGTGGGAATGGACGAACGAATCCATATCCATACATGGACTTTTTTCTTCACTATTCCTCCGTTGATTGATGTGCAGTTTGTTAAGCAATAGTTCTTGTTTCCTCCTTTGGGTCCATAACATGCACAACACTAAAACACACGACAGTACTTTCTTGCTAGGAAACAGTAAATATATATACACATGCAAAGGAAGCAAGAATGGAGGTGAGGACAAGGAGGAAAGTAGGGGATTATTTACCTTTTTATGGGAGCAGCCAACAAAAGCACTACTGCTATGTAAAATTCCAGAGTTTGTTGAATTTCCGTGTGCACTGTAACTGTTGAATAAACAGAACATGTTTAAAATATACTATTTTGCAAGTACAATATTTTCCTGGTCCTTTCCAGTTCACTATGTATATGCAAAAAGTTATTATTGATCAGACTGGAACCATATCGCCTACATTTTTCCGGGCAGGCATAAAATCAACCTGGGTCTATCCAGGAAGTACTGAACTAGGAAAGATTTTACATATGCATACTACATTATTGAATGAGCACATTCATGAAGTCTATATTCTCGACTCTACTGTACAAACTGTATTTGGTGCTTCTGAATTTTAGTAGTGAAAATTCACATTCTATTTAATTCAGCTTAATAATTTTATAATCATATGGTTGATGTTATATACCATGATCATTATATACAATGTTTCCAGGCGACCTATATGGGCATGGGAAGCTGCATTTGGCACAAAGAGCTGGCAAATGTTATGCTCGACGTTTTTGCAGCATGAAATCCATCCCCAGGCTCCGAATTGATTTCAATATTCTGATTCACAGAATGTACATAAATTATTTAATAGATATTCGTTACCTATATGAGCCTGAATCTTCTAATCTTAAGTTTTTCAATCCAGGAAAATACGCAAACCCAAGAGAGCAAGGCTGTTGAAGGCATTTGTTCATTTTCCCCTAAATAGAAATATTACAGTAATTCTCAGTATTAACATGCCAGCACAGTTAATGTTTTTTCGTGAATGGTGTCTATAATTGGAGTGAGGTATTTTGCACTTAGTACACTCCTAATATTTCGCTTACGACTGACAAATCATCTGCTGATAAAAACGTACCCATCCAATTAATGATGAAACATGCCCACTGAATACTGAACATCGAAAGTTCTTGTTTACAACTTTTCCAGTCTGAAGATCCTTAACAAATGCAATATCACCGATGCCAGGATTATCTCTGGTACAGCCTCCAAAATTGCGTACAAGAAGTTCTCCAAAAGGACGTTTACTTGTCAATCTGAAGCTCCTTTAATAGTTGATAAAAACAATATATTGTATATTCAGAACGGCAAAAACATAAGTGATAACGCTAAACTTCATTCGCCTTCCAATCATACACTTTAACAACAAATTTAACTTTAAGAATTTTTGCGACTTGACGGTCCAGTGGACTTTTTAGTCTCAGCATGCAGGGTGGTTTTTCGTCGTATCTACCCGAATAAGTTTTTACACTTCGACTTCCCAAGCAAGGAAAAACAGTAGCCACATTGGATTGTCAGTTGAATTTTACCCCAGTGACTACTACGACTAGAATTCTCAGTGCACATCAAGTCTTGTGACGTTATGCATGATGTCTATTGTTATAATAATTATTATTATTGAATATTTTAATCACTACGTGTCGTCTGATTGGCTAATATCTTACAGCTAAATATAATACGGAAATCACGCAACCTACACATAACTCAGTTACTGTATCTACTAACTGAACCATGTGTAGAGTGGGCCTGCGGAATGTAATTTTATAACAAACTGCAATTGTAGATACACGAATAAAACAAGAACAAACAAAATGAACGAACGGCGTTTTTGTGAATGCTTTTTGTCCAAAAAATAGACTTTCTGACATTTTTATCGGAACTTTAGTAGGTAAATTGTTATAATTGTGATTATAATTGTGACTGTTATAATTGTGATATTTCAAATCGTTTTCATTGTTTCTTTTGAGAACCAAAACGTTGTTTTGTGCGACAAATCATCGTTTGTCGAAACAGTTATTGAATTTGGATTTTGTGATCTCGGTATAAGTGCTATCAATCTCGTCTTCGGCTCGACTGATAAGACTTACCTCAACCTTGATCATAATTTTGCATATCGCAAAAAAAGTTTATCCATTAACTGTTTATTATCTCGTTCAATATGCATTTTGTGTATACACCATTTAAGTAATACAGTTAATAAACCGTCATTTAATCAAACCTCACCAGTGTGCCTTTGTATTTTCAAACTTTGATGTTGTAGATATTTGAAAACGTATATCTAACATCTTTACTTTTCCAAAAATACTTGACCAGTGAGGTTTTCCATGAGGATCGACAGTTTCGTTTGAAGATGGAACAGTCCAGGTAACAGGGTCATCTTTTTTTGCAACCAGTATGAATCCTCCTCCATCAGTCGTGACGTCACAGAAAGCCTTCAGTGCAAACAGGTGATAAAACGTTTGTATGATGCACATTCGTCAATGCTTAGATTTGGCAATATCAGTTGTTTAATTGAAAATCCTGTACATGCTTAGTATTATAGGGAGCAAATTAAAACATGGGATAAGAGGTGTATGCAAGAAATGGTATGAAAATTACTTGAGGAGTATTATAATAGAAAACAAATCGTTAAATACAATAGCAATAAATAAAAAAAAATTGCAATAACAAGAAATATACTAAGGTTCAATATTAGGAACACGCCTGCATGTTTCTACTGCACATAATTGATTATTGATACACAAAACTGCAGAGAACTAATATCTTTCTTTCAATGGCAAAAAACAACGGCAATCAAACAATTTCATTAAAAAAATGAAAATATTGGACAAGCTAAAAGACTATATACAATTTTTAGGTGTCATTATTGATCGGAATATTTAACATTGAATGAACATTATTTCTATTATTTATCCAAACATTCTTTATACTTTCGCTATGGTTAACAGTTTTTTTAAAGGTTTGAATATTTTATTCAAATATTTAACACGCCCAGCCATTCGGCTGCTTTGATTTCACATACGAAATGAGCATTTTCACATGTGAAAAATTCCATTCCGCACAAAATCTCACATGTGAATTAATATAAGAAATGTCCATAATTGTACATATATTTCATGTACTGATAATATTTTGGTAAATGTGAGATATATTAACCTTATCCAGACTGAGGGGACAAAGCGGAATGTGCCTGCGCTGATTTATAAGTGAATATCTGCTAAACTAGTAGAGGTATAAAAAATAATGGTTCTGAGATTTTACTGCTTTTCCTAAATATTTACGGGCTTTATCTCTAAAAAATTTGGTGAAAAAGTATTATCCCAGAAATGATAAACCGTATAGACGTGAACAACTACCAAAGTAAATTTCAACATTTTTAATTACATTATAATAGTTATAATAAAAGTAAGAACTATTCAAAAAACAGAAACTATTTTTTATATATATTACCTTTTTTATCGTAACAAAACAGCTAAAAATTACAATATTTAAGAAATTAATTTTGGAAGTTCTAAACATCCAATTTTTCCAATTAATGTCGTCATGATGTCGGCATAACTTGTTGCAATGACAACATAATTGTAACATATACTTGAACAAGGCATACCATTGACCTGTAAAAATGTCGATGGAATACACCGAATGGTAAGGAAATGTTGACAGCGGGCACTTTCCGCCCACCCCCAGTCCTAGAAGATCCAAAAGAATGTGTCTTAGCCCAATCTGGATAGCGGTAAAACATAATCCTCTTCATTCATTGGTCAATATATTTTCTAGAAGTTAGTATCGCAAGTGAATTACTGCCTGATGAATATTTTAGAATGCTGAAACACACAGCTGCATTGCATTTGAAATTAATTAAAAGCCAATCGTCTCTTTTTGATTCCCGGGCCTTCGCAGTATTTGTTCTAAATTCGCTAACACTTATTTGCGAAAAAAAAACTGAACTGGGTTTGACTGTTTGTCTACACTTCAAAAAACGAACTGGCCTGAATTAGGCCTTAATTAACCACTTTTCCCAACAAGTTCTAAATATAAATGCCTTCGGCTTCATGTATATTTATCGAAGTGTCTATACTGACATATGACTATACAGCCGATTGAAAATATTAGTGGCGATGTTTTGCATGAT